GCCTTTTCGGTTGTGGCAGCTGAGTGGCATGCAGCCGCCACCGACATGAAACGACGTCGCACGACCCTTGGACAATGGTTGCAGGATCTTGAGTGGTTGCGCCTTGCCACTAGACAATGTCAGGATTTACCCCCGCCCAAGGAGGACCTACAACCGTGGGAGGACCTCATACGACGCAGCCTACCCGCCTGGAAGCGCATCATTCGCATCGGAGTGCATGCATATACACAGTACACGACGCGCAACACACTTGCAGCACACATGGAGTCCCAGTTCTTTGATGAAGTACGCCCTGCGGGAGTGCCCCCTCGGGTATACACCGATGAACGTGGATTTATTATACAGCAGCCACCGCCTGCCCCAGCACAGAGTATGGACTGCCCTTGGTGTGGGCAGTCTTTTGCACGGCATCGGGCGCTACGCACACACGTGGCTCGCGTACGTAGGCAACTAACTACACTTGCACGTGGCTATGCCAACCCGTCAGGGGTATGTCAAACATGTCTGCTCAGGTACAATGCACGGCCACATCTAGTGGATCATCTGTCGATCGATTCGCCTCGCTGCTTGCTGGCTGCTGTGCTGACTATGGACAATCCAGCCTACCACCTACAGCTACCTGCCCAACCGATACTACCACGTGGACATACCACCAACGTACATATCCCTCGTCGCCACGTTGTCGTACCCACAGTTCGGACGCCGGGCCCCATCACCGAGATTGCGTTCAACCTTGCCGAGTTGGTGTCTCAGGAAGATGCCCGCCGAGCCCTTTTGGAAAGTGACCCGTATCTCACTCCAGAGGCTTGTGCCGCACTCCTGCCACCACCACGGCCCGCTGTGGCCGAAGGAGATGCCCCTGAGCCAGGCCAACCACCACCGGTCTACCACGAGCGCTACCCGACGCGAATGTTCTTGACCGAGCAGTTTACCGACATTGCTGCTCAGGATTTGCCCATTGCTATCCGACGGTCGGAATATTTCGTGCTTAACCTGTACTGTGGCCGACGACGGCCTGGTGACATCCAGGCCTGCCTCGAATGGACCGAGTATCATACCGACTTCACCATTTCGGTTTTATCTATCGATATAGCGATCGACCCAGTACTAGGTAACATGATGCGACGCGAAACGCTGGAGGTATGGAAGGAGCATATACGAGCCAGGCGAGTTGTCTTGTCAGGCGGCGGGCCACCCTGTGAGACGTGGTCAGCTATCCGTTGGTCCCCTGATGCAGGCCCTCCCCCCCTACGGTCCCATGCCGATTTCTGGGGTTTGCTGGCCGTCACTCCCCGACAAATGGAGCAGTTACGTGTTGGTAATGAACTATTAGGGGCGATGATCGAACTGTTCGCCGTGCATCTCACCGTCGGTACCTCATGCTGGATGGGACATCCTATGCCTGCGCACTGGCGACCCGACTCGGTCAGTTCATTCTATTGCCCGCCCCTACGGGCTGTTATGGCATCCCCAGCAGCGTCGGTGACCGACTTTGATCAGTGCGAGCACGGTCAGGTTGCACGTGCACCTACAAGAATACTTGCACTGCGCATGGGCACAATGCACGGACGCTTGTGCGAGACACCTGGGCGTGGACGTTGTTCTCACGGACGTGGGGCTCACGAGGTACTCATGGGGTTCGACAGGCGACGTGACGAGTGGCGTACGGCCAAGAAGAAAACCTACCCTCCGGCCCTATGTCAAGTTCTCGCAGACAGCATAATGGACGCAGTCAATCATATGCGCGTGACGTGTGCAGAGCATGATTGGCCAGAGGAGATGAGGGAGGAGGAGGAGGAGCTCCGTGGGTCCCTTGCAGCTTTTTACGTTTCATGGGACCCGTACGTCGGTACGGACGAGTCCTGGGCCCCAGATTTTGTGTCGACGCGTGCTAGTCGGACTCGAGCGGATCCCGAGCGACATCGGTTCCTGCCACCTGAGCCGCAGTCGTCCTCTCAGCCCATGCCTGGAGTTGTTTTTGATCCCGAGGCTGAGGCCCGCCCCCCAGGGCCCATCGAGGCCTCGGACGAGCAGGAATACGCAGACGCTCTAGCGTTCCTCGATGGCACCATACCCCCTCAGCCAGGGGACTCCGAGCCACTGTATGAGCCTACCGCGTCCTCTATTCCCCCTCCGCCCCCCCCTCAGCCCGTTGAGTTGACTGATGCGTTGCGTGCACGTATTGCGGCTAACCGAGCACAGGCTCGAGAGCGACGCCGTCAACGGCTCGCTCAACGCATCGCTCCCTGGACATTCCAGCCTGGATTCGGAACAGGTATTTTGGACATGCCCCAGGTCTAACGTCGCTCGCTGCATACCGATTGGGATGGGTTTAGGTTGATGATGAGGAGGTGGGAGGTTGTTGATTTTGTCAGTGCTCCTCGCTGTCCCATGCCCGATTGCCCCTACTCCACCACCCCGTTGCCAGTACTTGTCGTAGCAGCGCTACCTAGACAGCCTGTGGATGATGCTATGGTTCTTGCAAGCTGACGTTGGTTTTGCCAGTTTCCCATTGCTGGAGGTTTCCGTGGGATACTTCGCCTCCCGTTAACTGAGCTTGCAGTTACCGTTGCACGGCTTGCCTCTTTGGGCCTGTTGCCGACCGTATCGTGTGTGGGCTGCTCGTTCGAGCTTGCAGTTCCCCTTGTGCCTGTGTGTACGTGTTGATCCCTATCTATTTCACCCGTGCTCACAGATGGCCGCTGCCATTGGCAAACGCCTCCAGGCTCCTAAGACCCAGGACCAGTTGCGCCCTCTGGAAGAGGAGTATGCCCATGGGTCAGTCGGTCAATCGCTCGGTTTTGGCGTGAGATGTGACAGGCTTCGGTCTAGTGTCCTGAGAGCCAGGCAGGCCTGAGTTGCTGGCGAGGCCGCAGCTGTGGCTCGCGCCGCCCTGGAAGAGTGGAGGAGGAGGTTTAGGGGGCTGCAGCGGACGTGGGGGAGAGCAGAGAGCAGGGCGCGCGCGCGTGCCCCGCCGCCCCGCCGCCGCACGCCCGCCCCGCCGCCCCCGCCGCCCGGCGCGAGCGAGCGGCGCGGCAGTGTAGCAGCGAGCGACTCCTCGCCTCTCCCCTCCGTTTGTTTCTTTACGCCGCCTCTCTCTCCGCCGTCAACCTGGACAGAGGTGCGCCCCCCGTGCTTCTGGCACCGACCGAATGTCAAGCTCCAAGCCTTGGCCCGTGGGGGGCAGCGGCAGGGGGCTCGGTGAGCGTAGACCGTCGCTAACCGCACACCCGTTGCGTGTGGCACCGAACCCCCGAGTGTCCGTCAGTCCGCGCGGCCGCCAGCCAGGTGCTCATGCGGCTGCACGCCGCAGCCCTCGCCTGCCGCCAGCCTTTCTTGCTGTTGCCGTGCAGAGAAGGTTTGGAGTCGTCGGGAGGGATGAGAGTGCAGTCCTCTTCAGCTCAGACAGTTGGCAGTGGTGCCACTAGGTCCGTTGGTAGACGAGACCTAGTCGGACGGATCGAATGGGCAGCGCAGCTCGGCATGTTTCCTTCCAGGAAAGAGTCTGCAGCGAGTCAGACGCAGCCGCCCTCTCTCCCCATCTTGCCCTCCCTCTCCAATGCTGTGATCAGAGAGAATCGAGCCCTGGCGGACAGGGAAAGTTGGGAACACCGTGGCAGGACCGCCCCTCTGTTGTTCTGTACGCTCTCTCCTGACCACGGTTGAAAATCAGCCAAGCTGGCGTTTAATGACTAGTGGAGGTTGGTGGGTTGTTTAAGGATGATTTGGAGGTGGGACTTGCACTCGGCGTTAAGCCCGAACTGTGTGCTGAGATGTACCTTGCCTTCGGTGCGAGATTCGAGTTTTAGTACGGACACAGGAGCTGTCTGTGCCAAATGCCTCCAGTCGACAGTGGCCGCGCCTTGCCAGTGCCACATTGCTGCCTCGCATCCAGTCGCTGGCGCAGTTAATACTATGGGACTGGGTGGGTTTGTGCATTTCATGGGTGGTGGGATGGAGGTACTGTACTGTACTTGTTCACTTGGTGCCCGTGCAGCCTTTTAAGTCTGCTAGCTGCAGCGCCGCTTTTTCTCTGACCGTCACCAGGCGAATCAGATGCGCAATCTAAAAAAAAAATCCTCCCTCCTTCAGCCACCTCCTCCCTCACTGTCTCCTGCCTTCTCCTCCTCCTCCACCCCAAAAGATTCCCCCCACACATCCAGGACAACGCGCCTACATCCGCCAGAACCAGCTAAACTACAGAAGACTACCCCAAATCCTTCTCCATCCTCCCCCCTCCGTCCGCTCTTCTTATCTCTTCGTTTTCTCCTCGTCTCCGTTTCCCCATATACCTCTTCCTCTTCCACCTCCATCCTCGCGCCTCATTCCTCCCCTTTAGTCGTTCTGGCTCAGGCGCGATGCCTGGGCTTGTGGCAGTCGTCTTCAGAGCGGCAATCGCCATCGCGGGTCCCTTTAGCCTTTCGATTCAGGTTGAGGGACCTCATCCCTCCAGTCTTCCTTGGCCAGGCAGTGGTCTGGCCAATCGCATGTCCCATGGAGATGGCGCTGTCCCGGCGGGGCCGCGGCAGCCTGTGGGCGCAACCAGAACTGGGCGCGTCGCATGCGCTGCGCCTGCGGCAACGCGGCGCCCCATAACATCGCGCACCGCGCGCAGAAGGCAGCAGCAGCACAAACAGGCAAGGTGGTGATGGGCCTCATCGTGTCCCTGGTGCTGGCGGCGCTTGCGCGCGGGGTTCTCCCGCAGGCACCATGTCCTCATCCTCGTCCAAGCAGCTCGAGAAGCAAGTGTCCCAGTTGGCCGAGCAGCTCGAGCAGCTCACGAAGGGCAACGGAAACGGCGGTGGCACTGGCGGGCATGGGCCAGGCGGGCACGGAGCTGTCTCTCAGCATTAGACTGCGCCCACTGGCGATGATGGTCATGATGCCGAGGATGAGGGAGCCAAGCTTCGAGCACGTGCTGAGGCCTTCGGGAAGGCGGTGGCTGCAATCGAGAAGGTACCAGGGCCGTCGCTGCAGGCCAGTCTCGAGACGGAGCCCAGGTGCTGAAGGGCATCAATGAGCGCAAGCCCGCGCTCACTTGCCACGCGACGCTGGGCCTCAAGCTCACGAGGGCGCAGCAGAAGTTGGCAACGTTGGAAAGTGAAGTGGCTGAGCACCGCGCAGCGGTGGCGGCACAAGAAGCATTGTCAGCCACGCGCGAGAAGGCCGCCGCCGCCAAGGTCGAGACCGACGCGTGCAAGCTGGAGCCTCAGAGCACGATGCAGCCTGCACTACTAGAATTCAGCCCCGAGGCCCTGGCTGAGGCACCCATCGAAGTCCAGCAGCTGGCGCAGTCCGAGGCTTTCACCAAGTACAAGGAGCTGCTGGCGCAGCAGGCTCTCCAAGTCTCTCCTTTCCCTCCAACTCCCCCGCCTGGAACGTCCACAAGACCTCGTGATTGCCAGGCCCCTTGTGCTGGAGGAGTCCGAGTCCCGGGAGATGACGAGGAGATTGATGTTGATTTGGAGGAGCAGGATATCCTACGCCTGCTCGCCACGGCCTGGCGCGAGCGTGCGTCTCAGTTCCTAGAGGGAATTCAGGCTGACTTTGACGAGGCGGTGGCGGCTGGGGATAAGGCGTCTCGGAGTCTCGGGATGAATGGTCCACGAAAGCACTTCAGGGATCGGCCCGTTTGATGCGCAGATTCGCTCGTACCCCCAAAGCCGTTCAGAGCTCGCCTGGCATCTACTCCGCGGACCTCGAGCCTCCCCAGCAATGCTTAGATGGGCGTCGCAGTCTTTCAGTCGCACGACCTCGCAATCTCCTGGCGGATTCCACTCGCGCCACTTCCCCAGCCTGAGCGACCAAGGGCTGGAGGCCCTGGCGATGCTCAACGAAGCCGTGGAGCGGATCGGTCTATCCCTGCCCAGTTACCGTGGATGCCGATGCCTCTTCTGGAGAAGCCTACACCCTGCGAAATGCTTTAGAAATCATGGGTTAAGAAATTCATAGTCTCAGAACTGGAATAAAAACCCAAAAGTTACATTCAAATCTTAGGATTTACATTGAAACGTTAAGAATAATCGAGACTCTGGCCGAAAATTTAAGTTTTCTTAAGCATCGCCTAAGGTGTAGGAAGGCGGCCGCCGTCCGATCCTGTCGTTGGGCGCGCCCGTCCGCATCTTGGAGAGGCTCCGTCGGAGCCGAGCAGGCGATGTCCTGTAGGGCGGCGAGATCTATACATATCCACTGCTCCCTGGCCAGGCCCATCCTCAACACAGCAGCTGTGTATACGCCACGCCCTCCTGGTTTGGCCAGGAGGGCGTATACACAGCTCCTGGGTTCAGGAAGGGCCTGGCCAGGGAGCAGTGGATATGTATAGATTTCGTCGCCCGATCCTGGATCGGGTTCAGCGGCCCAGCTGGGCTGTTGGTAGCGGCGCGAACTCGGGGGCGGCTGTGTGGCAGCAAAGCGCGAAAGCGGAACCGGATCCTTCGTAGGGCAAGGCTACCGCGAGGCATCTGGGAGGGCTGAAATGCTTTGACTCGTTTGTCTTGGTGTGGCTCCGTGATCGAGCCACTTTCTGACAGATCCCCGTGGTTATCACCAAGACCCTCTACAATATTTGGCGTGGGCCTCGGGTGCTACGACTGGGCCCAAACTGCTCCCCAGTGGGCCTCTATGCCACCTCGGGGCCCCCAGCAGGCGGCATTTTCAACGACGCTGTTGTCAAAGCTTATGCTGTGTTTGAGTTCGACAATTTCACCATGGGGGACCCCCGGTCCCCCCTAGACTCACACGTCGACGACGACACGGTGGTGGCGCACGGGGAGGGGGAGGGGATAGCAGCAACACTTGCGAGGGCAAGTCACGATTTCAAGGATGTCTTCCAGTGGGGCTTGAAAGTTCGCCTCGCGGAGGACAGCGCTGCCACGTTTGCCTCGGCACCTGGCTTGGCTCGGAGGCTCGCGCGGCGACTGCGGGCAGCTTGCCCCTCGGCGGCATCTAACGCCGTTGTCGTGCTGGGCACGGACCTGGCCCCAGATGTGAGGAGGGGATGCAAGTGGGGACTGGTAAAGCGACGTCAACGTCTAAAAGCTATGCACACGCGTCATAGCCTCCTATCTCAGTATCGCTGTAAGTTCCCTCGTGACAAGTCCAGGATGCCGAATATTTATGTAGCAGGTGTGCGAGCTGGCCTTGGAGCCGTGGTGCTCGGCCTCTCCGACGCGGGGCTCAAGGCCATGCAGCGCGCCCTGCTAGCTCGCCGCAGCCCTGCACATCGTGAAGCGTCGCTCACAGCGAAGTTAGTTCTCCACGGCAACCCAGCTTGGAAGCAGCCAGCAGCCCCAGCACTCAAATGGGCCTCCGGTAATTAGCGTTCAATTACCCAGCCTCGTACCTCATCCTTATCGTTTCGGGAGCACATCGAGATCTGGATGGGGGACGGTGGAGTCTCGGGAGCTCGATATCACCTCTGCAGGTTGGAAGTCCTCGCGAAGCCCCGCACATAGGATGCTACTTAGTCTATATCGGATCGGTTGGAAAGCTCAAGGATTCACTTGCTTGCACGACGAGTGGGGGTACGTTATCGATTTGTTGCACACCTCCCCCCGCCATGGTCAGTAAGATGTTGGAGGAAGGAATCCAGAGATCCCATGGGCGTCGCTTGGCGCAGGCCTTGCCACATTTCGATGCTGCTCGTGTTTCACCAGATCCAGTGCGACGCATGTTGAGAGCGAAACGGATCACACCTCGGGAGACATACCTATAAGACCGCCCTGTGGGCGATACTGAGGTTGGGGGGGATTGAGATCAAATGCCCACCCTGACTGACCTCCAGCCTGTCACCTTGATCTCATCTCTCTCTCTCTCTCTTTCTCTCTGTCTCTCTGTGACTCTCTCTCTCTCTCTTTCTCCGTGTCTCTCTCTCTCTCTCCCTCTCTCTCTCTCTGTCTCCCTCCGGCAAAAATGAATTGATGGGTTGGGTTGGGTGGATTGGATTGGATAAGATGGATTTGATAAGATAATATGGGTTGGATTGGAAGAAGTGGGTTGGATAAGATAAGATGGATTGGATTGGCCTACCGCAGGCGCAGAAACAAATGAATTGATGGATTGGGTTGCGTGGATTGGATTGGGTGGGATAAGATAAGATGGGACAATATGGTTTGATAAGATAAGATGGATTGGATTGGAGAAAATGGATTGGATAAGATAAGCTGGATTGGATAAGAAAGCCCGCCGCAGGCGCCGAACCAAAATGAATTATGAAATTAGCGACATGCGTTAACGCCGGGACGCCCGGGACACCTGGGACACCGCCCGGCCCCACTGGGACACCTCCAGGACACCGGCGGACGGGAAACGGACTTTCGCTCCTACTGACACCCGGGACACCCGAGACACCGCCCGGCCCAACTGGGACACCTCCCAGCCACCGGCGGATGGGAGCGGGCTTTCGCTCCTACTTCGGCCTAGCTACAGGAAGATCACGCGCAGCTTCGCCTCGCCCGCACGCACGACACGGACACGAAACCGAAACCGATTTCCCGGTGGAGGGTCACCGTTTCACTGCGATCTCACCCCCGAACCTCCGACGGGAGACAGACTACGGGCCTCTGGCTACGTGCATGATGGTATGTGTCCGCTGTGCCGACAGCCTGACTCGCGGGTGCCTCGCCGGCCTATCTTTTCGCGTGAGCCCTGAGCCCGCGGCTGCCAGGCGCGAGCACCTCTCGGACGAGGAGATAGCTCAAGCCCGCGCTGTCGACCCAGCCAAACTCTTCTTGGGGTCTCGAATGATTATGGCTCAGTCCTCCTCCTCCTCCTCCTCCTCCTCGTCCTCCTTGCCTTGGCTCCGATCCCGTCCTGCAAGGGACCGAGGGTGAGCCACTAACGATCGAGCAGTTTTGTGACCGCACTCTCGGCAGCGAGATTGCGCTGGACGGTTCAGCGAGCCAAGGTGTCTTTCAGGAGCTGAACGGGGCCACGTACGCGGCTCTGTTTCTGCCCCCTGGGGACGAATACGAAATCCGTGCGGTGGTCCTCGGGGCGGTCTGGCCTGGAATGCCCCAGACGGCCCAGTCGGGCGAGCACCTTGGTATCACCACTTTCAGTTGCCTCGCCACGGGCCGCAACGGTGTGCTCAGCGACTGTCTGGGAGCGGTTCGCCTGGCAACCTCCAGGGCCTCGTCGCAAGTGGACCCCATCAAATGTTCGCTGGCTTTCGTAGGCGCGCCCCAGCTGAAGATGGGCAAGATTGTATCACCTCGATTACTCATGTGCAGGCTCACACGTCGGAGGGAGTCATCGAAGCCGCCCCCACATGAGCGCAAGGGAGCCCTTGGCAATGATGATGCAATGATGCAGACCGATTGGCGAAGCACGCCATGACCCTGCACCCTAGCCCTCCTGCGGAGGAGCTCGCGCAACTTGACTCTGAAGTTACCCTCCTCCGCAAGTTGGTCGCGATGTTTGCCGCCGTCCTCCCGTGTTGTCTCCAACTAGAGTTTATTCGGGACCGAGCGGGTGCTTGTGTGCCTAGGCCCCGTGCCCTGAGATGGCATGACTGGGTCAGCCTGGACCCTGGGACCGACGCTGAGGACCCGCATTTTTTCCGTTGCAGTCAGTGCTTCACTGTTTGCTATGATGCATATCGGCCGATGGACGGGTGCAAAGGACCCTCGACGGCCATATGCCGCGTGCGTGATGATGTGGGCTCACAAGGCCACCTCGTGTGCACCACCTTTCGCCAGACCGCGCAGTGCGAGCCTCTCGTGTTCTGTTTCAGATGTAAGCCTACACGAGTGAGCGTTGTTTCAAGCTGGCGGTTCGATGCAAGGGTGAACCAGGACCATGTGGCAGAGGAGCTCTCTCCCGCATTCGGCGCGGACTCCATCCCCACTACAGCTCGGGGAGACGGTGGTTGCGGGGTCGGGCACGACGTGTCCTGCTTCGACCAAGTTCGTGTTGCTTCCAGCGGCACCTGTCGGCACCGCCTCCTCACTTGTGAGCGTGCGCCAAATCCCAACAGCGAGAATGGAGGCACTGCCGGCTCGCGTGCGCCAGCGCGAGGAGGCGGCCGCTGCGGCTCGACGCAGCTCAAGTTCACAGTTTTTGTTATGCCGTGGGGGGCCTCCGAGGAACAACTCCTTCCTCCCCATCCTCTTCTTCCTCTTCCTCCTCCTCCTCCTCCTCCTCCTCCTCCTCCCAGATCCTCCTCCTCGCGCACTGGCGGCCGACGTAGGTCTCTCCGCTGAAGATCCTCTTCCTCCTCCTCCTCCTCCTCCTCCTCCTCCTCCTCCTCCTCCTCCTCCTCCTCCCCCTCCTTCCAAACTCCAACTCCTCCCAACTCCTCCTCCTGCTTCTCCTCCTCCTCTTCATCCTCCTCCTCCTCCTCCTCCTCCTCCTCCTCCTCAGCTTCTTCATCCTCCTCCTCCTTCTCCTGCTCCTCCTCAGCTTCTTCCTCCCCCCCGCTCGAAGCGTGCCGCTGCCTGAGACGGGCACTGCCCCAACGCTCCCCCCATTCCGCCCCCGCCGGGCCCGCGCGGCGCCAGGGGCCGCTGAGGGCGGCGGCAGGCGGCTTGGACGGCTCCGGCGGGGGCGCCGGGGAGGGCTCGGGGGTCTGCGGGGCGACCGGGAAGGGGGTCGAGGGAAGATGAAGAGGCCCAAGGACACACAAGTAAATACACAC